TCACAGTATACTCATGTGTTAGAGTGGCCCAGTCAAAGTGCAGACCTAAAACGTCAGTGTTCTCCATCCAGTCTGACGAAGCTCGAGTTACTTTGTGACAACAAAGAAAAAAGTGTGAAGTTGGTCAAGACATCCCCAAAAAGTTATGCAGTTGTAATTATAGAGAAATGTAGCTTTGCAAATTATTGAGACAAGAACATTTCAGATTTTTTCAGGAGGTAAAAAAAAAGAAGTATTTTTTAAATTTGACTCAACATTAAGGCTATTTCTTGGTGGTTTACCACATAAAACTCTGGTACAGTTCTTCTGTGCATCGTTGACACTCTCTTCAGCCAGAAGATAGAGAATGGCTTCAGTCAGAAGCTTCTACAAAGTTGCCAAAATACAGACCACTACAATAACTCTTCTAAGAATTTTCAATTAATATGAGTTTCAACATTTGATTTCCTTTTGGGATCAATGAAGCATTTCTTGCATTGAGCTGAAATGAATCTGAATGATTGTTTGTCTTGCGGGTCTCTGAATCTCACAGCTCTTGTCTACTAATTTCTGGAGATTTGCTCCAGCCATCCTTTAACCCTAAACAAACAGACAAACAAATAACAAGTTGGTGGATAAAATAAAAATAATGAATTATAGTTTGCACTTCCAACATGACAAAATGTTTAAAAATAACCCGCAGTCATGTAATTACTTTGAACACCTTTTGACTGCAGGTAAATGCTGAAGAAATATCAAAGAATCTCGATCGTGATTGAAAACCAAGGAATCAAGGACATTAACCCCAACAGGGTCCAACTCAGAGAAGTGAAAGATGATTAACAGCTCGACTTGGCATAACTCAGAGGGGGCAGTTGTGCTCAATAATGTAGCAGCACAGCTCAGTGGCTTGTCATCTTTATTTTTATCTCCTCGCCTTCTGAAAGTGCTTGTTGATCAATACACACAGCAAGACTTCGCTCCCTGGGTGAGCTTGAAGCAGAGAGGCATGAAATGTTCACCGCAGCACCTAAACCTCCATCTCAAATTGTCTGATTTGCATACCGCTGTCGAGTCTCGTTGGGCGTCTTTATGTTAAGCCCAATGGAACAGCTTTTTTCACCTGTCAGTTATTTGCGGTTAAAAAAGGTTTAAGCTTTGATGCTGCATCTGTCCAGACCAGGAGCAGCGAATTCACAACCAAGTCTGAATACTTCTGAGTGCTGTGAGTTCTCTGAGATATTCACTGGGGCCTGGTGCTGCAATGCAAGGGTTCAGGTGGTATAATTAATAAACAAACAGGCGAATTGGACTGGAAGTGAGAAAAATCCACCAGGCCCAGAAACAAGATATTGTGACGGCTCAACACCAACTTTAAGAACTCACACAAATCTTTTTCACACCACCGTATAATAGTCCAGAAATGCTTGACGAGACATTGTGGTGACAGTATTGTTTCTACTGTCTGCCAACAGGATGAATGCAGATTCGTCATCTAAAGCAGAACTGACCTTCCATGGTAGCAGAGATCAAACAAAACCGAGTGGATCCAAAATCCCTGTGTCAGCCCTGGCTCAGCCTGTATGACGCATGATGGAGACAATATGAATAGAAATAAAGTGCTAATATTTAGCTATCACTGAAACATGAGGGACTAATAATATTGGGCAGCTTCCTGATTGGTTGCTAAAAGAATTCGTCAAGAGCAACAAAACTTATTCGACTCCAATTGAGAAAAAAACAAACAAGCAATAAAAATATGTAAATTAATATTGCATTGAATTAGCATTATTGTTTCATTTTTATTGAAATGTCACATTGTACACATTATAGCCTATAAGTCTAAGTTTACAGATTAACATATTTCCATGTACATACTTGTTTTATGTCATTAATTAATTTTAAGTCATATCTGAATTACTTATAATATCAGAGTTGTATATATATATATATATTTTTTTATATTTATATTGCTTGTGGTTATAATTTTATTTGCTAATATTTGGATGGACTGGCTTATCAACAAATAAGCAATTTCCCCTGAGGGATCAATAAAGTATGTTCTGATTCTCTTATCTTTACAATAGGGGTGGGCAATATGGACTTAAAATTTTATCAGAATATCTTGTGTTAATATTATGATAATGACAAATGTGATGATAAGAACTATTGATTGTTTATTTTTTAGGTAGCTGTATGACACGGCCATCACAGACACAGACGCTGCTCCTGGAAAACATGACAATTTGAAATGTGCGTATTTAGGACACCAGTCGTATAAATAAGTGTGATAAGTATCACTAAACTTCACAAGCATTTTTAAAATGTATTTATATCGATTGATAAAATACTAAAATAACCCCAATCTCAATCTCTCACAGACAGTTTTGGGAGGTTTCAGATATTCATTAAAAATTAATCTGATTCATTGTGACAGCAATAAATCAAAATTCTTATCTTGTCAGGAAATTTCTCATGACAAATGAAACAATACAGCAAATGCCCAACGTTACTGTACCACATCAACTAAAGATGAATAAAAACAGCCTACTTAGTGAAATAATGGCTTTGCTTTTTAACCATTTAAGCACCAAGATAAATAAAAGTATTCCTCTTACAAATAATCTAACTCTGTTCAAATTTGAAGAGCTGTCATATAAAACAGGTAGCCTAACCAGTCTATGCTACTTTCTTTACGTTTAAACATTCGTTCTTTGTGTGCGACCCTTGTTTTCTGATGACAGGAGGCGCTGTGGGGCGGATGAGGAGCAACACGTGGCTCTGGAGCCGCAGGTTGCCCACCTCTGCTATGAGAGCAGTTCAGACGCTCCTTGTACATCCAGTGCTGACGAGTTGTTCTACTTCACTTTCTAGGATCATACGGAGTGTCAGCTGCGGCAGCGCACAGAGCGGCTCTGCCTGCCACGCACTTCGTAATGAAGACATTTTGATGTCTCTTCTTCCCAAGAGGGCACTTAGGGAGATAACTTTGATCTTTCTTCTGGAGGTGAGAAGGCTGGAGACCGAGGAGCGATAAACGAGCTCCTCGGAGTGAAAGGGCATTAGATTTTTGTCACGGCAGACTTGTGACTTCCTGTCAGATTTCCTTTTTGCTTTAAAATCCCTCCCGACACCCCCCCCACCATGAAAAGCTGCCCTTTTTCTGATTGTGTGTGTGCGTTTTATTTTTCAGCAGAGGTAATCAGGTGCATTAGCCCGAAGCCTTCCTGCCTGTTTATTAGTTATTCATTTCCATCAGTGTGAGTAGCCTAAAGCGATGTGATCTGCAACGTGCTCGGTGCTCAGCAGCTGAACTGGATCATCCTCTTCCTCTCATCGTGCCCAGAAGCACGACACCGCTTTTCTCTCACAGTCCACTGAATTTTCCCCATTATAAACTTCGGCAGAAAGGAAAAAGATAATTAAATAAAATCACATTTGAATAATTTGTGGTTTAATAAATGATCATAGAGAAAGAAAAAAAAAGAGCTCAAATCCAAAAACGGCTAATTCCAACTTTAGTGGTGTATAATTGTACTTCTGACATGATTTTGGAAAGACTTTTTTGAGCAACTTCAAATTAAAAAAACTTCTCTTAACTCCTTTGAACCGTACCAAACAAATTGAACCAAAACTCTTCTTTTGTGTTCTTTTTTTGTTTGTTTTATGGAAGAGAAAGTTGAGTTTTCTATAAATATTGATGTGTGTGCACATCCACAACAGGTTGTGGAGGCTGTGGCAGAAGATCATGAAGAAAAAGAAGCTATTCCAGCACTGACAACAGCTGCCCACACTGCAAGGCAAACAGAGAAAAAGTAGGCGGCTGCCAACAAAAGTCTGACTAAAAATGGGAGAAAACAAAGAAAGCTTGTGTATTTTGTGAAGAAGCTAAACAGGTTTTGTTGAGAGGGTGTTAACCGCTGCAGAAAAAAGCCGGAGTCGTCCAAAATTAGAGCCAAAGTTTGATACGTTTACTTCAGGTGTATCTTTTATTTTAAATCTGTTTTATGGGCTGAAACAGTGGACAGCGGTTTAGGGACCACAGCTCCCATCAAATAAGCCAAAACGTTTATATCTGCATTATAGTTCAAACGTCACATCTACATTAAAGTGCATTAATACGCACAGTGAAAACCGTCTCGGCTCTAACCCTGAAGTTAAGTGACGCAAATAACAAAATGTGGATAAAGGTTGGGACCTTTGAATCACAAGGATGTTTTCAGTAGATGAGCCACACAACTGCTCACCACATTGTCAACTAGTCACATATATAAGACTGGATTTGTTCGGGCAACAGTCAGGCTGTCATTACTATTTCGATAAAACTCACAGGAGAAAGAATGAAATAAAACGATTCAGTCCGCTGCACACCTGCCTTAGAGATATTTTGTCAAGACTCAGCAACTCGGTCACAGAGATGCTGCTGCTGCTGCTGCTGTAGGAGATGGAAGAGCACCAGCTGGAAATGATGACTGGCTAAAGAGCCGGGATTTGTCTTTGATTTAAACAAATTCAACTTTTCCTCTGCTTCTCTCCGAGTGCTCACTGAAACCTTCAGAAAACATTATCTGTTGTTTTCACCCACCAGTGCAGAGTAAATATGTAAATAAGTCGTCACATTTACCATTGTTGTCTAGATGTCCTCAATGTTCAGCTCTCAAACCAAACCAAACATCAACTCTCTGTTATGTTACTACTGTAAAAAGGATGAAATTAGTCATTACTTTGTCATAACGAACACAATCTTTGAGTTTTCAGTCTGTGTTTTCTACTTATCAGGATTTTTGTGGACCTTATAATGTTTTATAAATGGAGAAATTCATCCTACATTCCTGTAGGATGTATAAATACCCGGCAGAAACATCCACACTTGTTAGATGTCCATTCCATATAGAGGAGACTTGTATCTTTTTATGGATATTAATCCGTCTTTTACAGGTTATCAAGCATGCAATACAGGACTTCAGACATAAATTGTCAGTGGCCGCAACGTTACACTGGAAGACATTAGATGTTCTCACCGTCCACGCAGGAGGGTTTGTTGCGTGTCGTTCCGGCCACTTTCCCGGGCAAACAGGAGCATTTGACCGTCTGCGAACGCTCCTCAATGCGGTTCTTGTTGCAGCACCTGTGAGCGGCAATCACCTCACAGGTTCCTCCCTCTGCAGAGACACAGGCAGAAACATAAGCAAGTAAATATGAGAGAAAAAAAAGAGCGATTCTTATTTACAATTCCCCAACACATTTCTAAAGGAACTCCCCTAGAAAGCAGCCATAGAGGGAATGAGAGAGAAACTCAGCTACGACTCATTATATTATGTCAGCTTAACAGCAGTACAATCATCAGGCACTTACACTGTAAGCATGTGTAACAAATTGGCCCTCAAGGAATCTCAATTATGTCATCAAATTGCCTCTCATTCAGGGCTGGCTGTCCTCACTTCATACCAATCAGCTCAAGATGACTCTCATGAAGAACGTCTCACATTTACCAACGTGTCCATTTCTCCATTTTTAATTAGCCTCACATATATTATCAATGTGATCAAACATTTTAAGTCTAACAAAATGTATTCACACCCCAGGAACTTTGATGTTTTGCTTCAGTGAAACGTTGTCAGCTTTGCGGTTTGGACTCTTTTCCTCAAGACTTTGACTTTTTTCTTTTTCTTTAACTATCAGAGTTGTTTACGTTGTTTATGCACCATGAGGAATATCTGGTTTTAAAACTCAAATCTACCAAATGCATTTGGGACAGGTTTTCAGTGTGCAGCTTTACAAATCCAATAACTAGGAGGAAGTAGTTATGTGATTTATTTTGATGTGCTAACAAACTTAGAAGCCCTCCTAGTTCATAAACTCTTATTCTTATTAAACATGTTCCCCATGTTTTTATTTTTATCTTGCTTTTATTTAGTTACTTTGTTCGTATTTTCTCCAACTCATGAATGCTTTGAATTGATTTGTTGCTGAAAATGTGCTACAAAAACAAAAATTACCTTACCTTACCAAACAACATGGCTGACACACACCTGAGAATGTTTGGTCATTTACTTGGATTTTGACAGAGATGGACATAAAATTACAATTTTGAGTTTAAAGTTAGAATTATGAAGAGAAGTCAGAGTTATCTTTCTTTTCCACTTCAGTGGCTCCAGCCTTCTTGCCAGCTAAATTACATGCTTCTTTGTGTGGGTCCGTATCATGAAATTCCCGTTGAAATTCTTTGAAATTTGTGATTACCTCCTCCAGGCACCACTTTGTCTCCGCACTGAGCACCACTTAGTCATTAAAACTTCGAAAGCCGACCCGCGCAATCTCCGGCTGCGCCGCACTAAAGCTTCAACTCCAAAACACAGTTGACAGTGAGAGCAAATGTTGCACAATCTGCCCCAGTTTGACAAAGGAGGATGTCAAAAAAATTCAGCCAATGCAGAAGGTGATATGCGCCAATGGCACTAATGGGTCAAAATAACAATAGGGAGGATTACCCCAGGGAGGGTGCACAGGTGATGGAGCTGAGGGACACCCTGAAATGAGTGAGACAGGCTGAGAGAAAGAGCTAAAGGACAAGGTGTGTCTTCCTGCCAGGGACTGGCCATGCCGGTGAGTAATGAGGTAGCCACTGGAAGTGCCCTCTTCACACAATTATAACACATGGGGCTAATGCAGCCAGCAGAGCTGCAGGAGAAAGGCCCTTCATCACTGCTCTCCCCTCTCCTACCGGCCCCAGGAAAAACTCTTTATCTTTCTGTGACAGCCACAGCAACAGACGGCAGCATCCAGCAATTAAAACTGGAGCTCATCCCACGACGAGGCATCAGATAGGAAAAGGAGAGTCTAATATATTCCACTCAATATACAGAGTAGAAAGCAGAGAGAAAATAATTTGTGTAGTGCATTATAGCAGTCGACAATGCAGCGTTTTAGAGAGGGTTTTCTGCTGCAAAAAGGAAGAGGCATTTACTTCTGCTAGCATAAATAATAATGAAAAAAAAAAAAAAAGAAACAGTTTGTTTCTCTCTGCCCAGGCGGGTTGTGCAAATATTTAAAATGACTTGGGTCATGAATTACGGAACTGAGCACCAGGCAGTCTGGCCGAGTTTGGCAACAGTTTTCTTCTTCCATTTTCATCAATGTCTGTCTTGGCAAGACCAAAGTCCAAGCAGTTCCGGATTACAAGACAAACATTTGCAGTCCTGCCGGACCCAGCTGCCTCTCCGTATCAGGCTCACTCTCTCTGCCTTCTCGTTAGATGTTTCTGGGCAGGAGGAAGCAGGATATGGAAAACACACACAGGAATGTGCTTTCTGGCCTGCAGAACCCACAGATTTCTCTTAGGCTTTTTAGAATTTCAATTAAACCATAAGCAGATGCGCCACGGCAAACCTCACACAACCGCTATAATCAGATGCGGTGAGAGGGATGCAAAGGAAGCTGGTGTGAAATCTGGACAATTGAACATCTCCCACTGAACAGAACATTGTATGTTGACTGTATGAATGTATGTTATGTATTAATCACACAACTTGCTCCAAAGATTGGTATATGTCTCTGATTTTGTTAAGTGTGATATAGGGATTGACGACATGGTCGCAATATAAGCGTTTCAGTCGATGTCGATTGTTATTGATTCGTTTTTTGTGACTGCTGACTCGACCTTTCCTGTTTATCCACAGTTTTCACTTCACAACATTTTCTATCTTTAAGCAGTTATGAGCAAAGGTGACAATATTGTACAGGTTGTTGCCGTGGGTTTCTCAGTGGCCCATCCATTATGCCTGCCTCTTGGTCCACCACATCACAAATGCACTCTGTTAGATGAGATCATACTGAAGAAATCAAGTTCGAGATGATCTGAGCTTCATGAAGTTATATATTTTTTCCTTGGGGAAGTATCTGTAAGAAGATGGATACGCTGTGGTTAAAAAGTGAAGGAAATGGTCAGAAAGGGCAGCACTTGTAGTATTTTGCTACTTCTTGTAGGAAGTCTTTAGGAATCCTTTTTTCTTTAACTATACAGACAACTAACTTCCAATGTACAGACTCGTTGAATAAATTATGTTCTGAAAAAGTTCATTTATATGATTTACCGAATGGACAAGGACAGATGTTTGAAAGCATTTATTTCTGTTAAGTAAGACGATTTTCCACTTGAAGCAAATGAAAGCAACATTTAAGGTAATATTAAATGAGAACGAGTTAAACAAGAGGGATATTTAGAATCTTAAAGGTCATTTTCTACATAAACGGCTCATCAGAATACAAGTTGTGACTTCTTGAATATGACTGCATGCTTGTTCTTACTGATTGATTCTTGTGGGTAAAGTGAGCTTGCTTTTATCAGGTTTGGCATCATTTAATAATATTGTATAATTGTAATGTCATTGGTAAATACCTCCCTGCCAGAATCAGCTGCAGTAAATCCACATTGTGCTAATTTCTCTCAGGCCCAGCTGTGCTTCCAACACCCTCAGCAACCTTTAGCATTTTGGGCGTTATAAACCCTGTCAGGTGCAGCCATCTGCTGCAGCGTGACTCCGACCCGACAGCTGAAGATTACAATGGCCATTCAAAATGTGAACTCATGTTATGGCAACAACAATTTCTGTATTTTATATATTGACTCTACTGCACGTACACAGTTTTCTGCTTTTTAGACTGCTACATGCATGTGGAGCTGCTGTGTTGTGGGTCATGTTCTGCTATGTTTAATGGATGGGGGGAGGGGCTCAATAGTAAACAATATTAATAACCCACGTCATAAACATCTTTTGTCTGCCCGCTCATTTTATGCTGCGAAAACATTTGACTGCTAAACACAACTTAACTTCATGGGCATGGGTTTACAGCAAACTCATTTGATGTAGTAAACAAAATAAACATGGATTTGGTGTGTTGAAGACCTGAGAATGTGATGAATGTGGATGTAACAAACCACCTAAATTACAGTCTTAATGAATAGTCCTGACACACACACACACACACGAGCGTGTGCGGACACACACAAACATGTCAGTGTGTGTATATGAGCGGCGTAAGATCCAGCCAGGTGGACATTAGGTGTGAACCATCTGGTATGTGAAGCAGAGTGCAGTGTAAATTGTTCCATGATTACTTTAGCCAGTCTGTCACAAGAGGCACTTAAACAACAAATGGCCACTTGAACTACACTTAATCCCACTCAGGATCCTGGGAGCCCATAGTGAGGTAAATTACCTTCTGATTTGTGCATCTCAATGTGTACGTTATGTGTACTTAAGCATGCGACGCCACGCGATACTTCACAACAGATGTGTTTGGTCCCCCGCAAAAAATGCATTAGCAATGGCATACCGGTGGAGAACTGGGCAAAAACAACTGGAGACATGACTGCATTCCTAATGGATGTAGTGCCTGGAACTTGTCAGGCGGCTGAGGGGGTTAAACTAACTTGCTAAGATGGAGTGGGTGGCTCTGCACTCTAGCCTTTAGTGAGGGAAGGTGAAGGGCATCGATGGGACCATCGGCTGGTCATTTTTCTCCCCATGTCCTGCAGTGACAGCAGTCATTAAATGACTGGATGCGGTGATTACGTTTAAGGAAATCAATGCTTCATTGTTTTCAGCTTAGCCCAATGGCCAATTACGAGGCGGTAATGAGGAAGGTTGTAAAATGTGGAGATAAATATAGAAATTAGGAATGGAAGTGGAAAAAACAAGCTGCGCTTCATCATTAGATATTTGGAGACTGTGAGGATTTGGATTGGGGGGCATTTTAAAAAATCCAAATTTGCATATGCAATATACTCATTTTCCTTGAACTTTTTCCACATTATGACCACACATTAGAATGTGTTTGATTAGGATTTTAGCAAACAGTTAGGAAAACAGAAGGAGAAGTCTCTGTGGTTTTCACATCTTTTTAAACAAATATAAATCTAAATTGTGCTGCTCGCTAAGGTTAATTTCCATTTCTCTATTTCCATGCAAAATGCCACATGCAGGATGAAATTAGCATTAGATATTATAATGAACACACCATTCTGATGGTGGAATATAGTGGTGAAAAATTCTACTAGTAAAACCAGGTGAATTCGTCTGCTAATTTCAACAAGTGACCAATGCATATTTTTGTGGTCATTTGTTGGAAAACTTTTAAAAAGACTTTTTTTTTGATTGAA